ACTCTTTCCTGCTTATGCAGGGGGTCGGACTCGATGATCTATTGAGGTCCCTTCCGACCCGAACATCTATGACTCTATGGAGCGGAGGCTGAGGCCCTAACAGTGGGGTGTGGCAGTGTGTCAGGGGGCTTATGTAGCAAGTTGGAGTCTCGGGACCGCCATGACGCCCCCTAGTGGCTCCACAGCCTATGCCCATTTCTGCCTCTAGGGTGTCTTCCCTTCTGTCTGTCCTGCCACACCTTGATGTAATTATTAGATTGAAAGAGAGACTGTCTTGAGAGTCCTAAAGCAAACCTTATGATATCCTCTACCGAGCAGGTACCCCCAAATCTGCTGGCCTTGACTCAGCTCTTGAGCTGTGTGGGCGCTCTCGCCTGCCTGCGCCCCAGGGCACCTTTGAACTTTAGGGGCTATGTGACAGGTGACAAGCTTGGGGCCAAATCTTGAGTCAGCCTCCCTGCCTGTCTATGACTTTGCTATAACAATGAACTGGTGGTAAATGTAAGAGGGTGCCCGTTACATGCCCCGCTGCCAGGGGGTGCTATACATGGCTCCATACCATCCCTACCCCATGGCTCTTGCCTCACAGCTGGCATCATGAGTTCTTAATGTTGCCAGCCCCACACTGTGCCCCATAATACTCTAGTCTGGATCCCAACTAAATCCCTCCTAATCAGGCAGTCTACTCTGCCTTCACCAGGTAGCCAAGCTCTCCGACCCCTTCTTCCTCTTGGGTGTGGCCCCCTGGGACCTTTGTCCACACAAGCCCCGGCCTCACCTCCAAGGCCAGTTGGAGCCCCAGCTCCCCGGCTCTGGGCATCCCTTACGGTGGGTCCCTGGCCCTTCAGCCATCCTGGTCCTGGCCCCGATATGGACCAGTCGAGAGTACCTTAGGTCAAGTCCAAGCTGCTCGCCCCCTCTCCTATGGGTCTGCCTTCTTGGGTCCCACTACAGGGCTTCCCACCTGGTTGTGGGGGCTGGAGTTATTAAGAAGCCCCTACCTGCCTTTCACCAAGGAGGTGAGCAGTCCTAGTATTTGAATGCGGTTCCTGCACCACCAGCAATCCCACCAGGCCTTCCTTCCCAGGCAGGGTACAGTTTCAGGTCATGTCCAGAACCAGGAGGCTCCCAGCCATCCCCTCAGTCCTTCCCTTACCTCCAGGATGGTGCACGGCGCCAGGGAGCCGGATGGTGCTGCTCCCTTGCTACAAGCAGCTAACTGCTTATGTGTGTGCGCGCGCATGTATGTGTGCATGTCTCTGCATAGCTAACTTTTTTGTTTGAAAATGGCCACCTCAATCAGGCACCTGTTGGGTGTCCACTCCAGCCCTTAAATAGGCTAATTATGTGGCTCTGTCCGTCCCTACACCACGTCCCATGCCTCACAGGTGTCACTGTACTGTCACTCTCTGTTGGGGCTTCAGCCTTCTCAGCCTCCACCTCACCTTCTAGCCTGGGCCCACTGCACTGGACCTGACTTCAAGGCACCAGCTCTAGTCTTGCCCCAGGTCCCTGCCCCCTTCCTGCCACCCCTGTTGGGTGCCAGGCTCCTCTGCACCATTCTGGGCTCTGAGGCCCCATGCTCAGCCCTGCTCCAGGCTCTGCACTCACTCTGCCTTGAGCCAGCCCTCCAACAGGACTCGAGGCGACCACATGCTCTGGGGCACTAATGGGACTTCCAAAGACCATGCCTCAAAGTCACAACCCAAACCAACAACCAAATTGTAAGCCCTCTGGCTACAACACAAACCTTCCCTTTTGGGCAAACAAGTATTAAACAAGGGAAAGCACACTACCCCTTCCAGAAGAAAGCCTCTTCCCCTACTCAGAAGAGCCCATGCTCTGGGAGCAGCCTCCGCTCTGGGCTCTCACTGCTGCGCTCTGGTCCCGGGTCCCTCAGGTAGCTCTTCCCCTCCAGGGAGCTCCTCTCCCAGGCAGCAGCAGAGCCAGGCTGCTTCAGGCTTTATCTTGCCAAAATGCAGTTACCCGGGCAGCCTCCAGGATATTACTGCCGGGGAGAGGAGCTCCCTGGAGTCTAAGCCCAACCTGCTCCCAAGTCATTGCCCCCTGATTGCCTCTGGCCGCACCTTCTGCCTGCTTCTGAGCCCCGATGCATTTGGCAAGGGGGGCACGGGTGAGTGGTGGGGGCAGTCACTCCCTGGGTCCCAGAGCCAGGACAACAAGTACAAGGGGTCACATCTGAACCCTTCCTGTGCTGCTTGTGGCCTGTTCAGCTGCCACTTGGACACCCCCGATGGAGGTGAAGACTGTTATCAAATCTCCCCTCTGTCTTCTCTTCTCCAGACTCTACAGCTCCACTTCTCCCACCTTCCTTTGTACTTCTTTTCCAACAAGAATATTGCAGAGGCTTTTAGCCCCATGGTGTTAGAAATGGTCCCCTCAAGGACGCATCGTATCAGCTTTTTGAATGACTGGGGTTTTGAAACTGTAAATGCTCAAGGGACAGATCTGGGAACGAGTGGTTCCTCTGAAGTCCTTCCTGCTGGGCTGACTTGGCTGTATCAGAACTGATGCAATATGGGCCCCCTGGGAGCTGTGGGATACCATCTGTTGTTGGCTACAAATGTCCAACTCGGGATCCTTAAAATTCTGGTTTATTAGGTGGATTGAAACACTATAATGAAGTCAAATCATAAACCTTGGGGCTGCTCCCCGAACACACACACATGCACACACACAGTAGTGAGCTACAAGAGTCAGGTATACCTATCCCACAGGTGCTGGAGTCTGCTGTCGATGGCCAGTTGAGGCTTCTTCCAGCATGGTGTTATCCTCCAGAAGGGGGTCGCCAGCTGGTCCTTCTGGCTGGACACGTTGGGTTCTGGTCAAGTTGGAGATCAAGAGGGCGCCACTGAGGGTCACTTTTCACTGCCTTTTATCTGTCCTTCGCAGAATTGGTGACTCCCCAGTTTTCAGGTTTGCCCAATCCAGGGGTCGTTGACCCTCGTGGGACTTCCCCTCCTCGGTGGCTGCTGGATGGCATCTGTCAGCCCCAGGGGTTGTCCGCATGAACGTGCAGGTTTGGGAGTCCAGTGATGAATTTTGAATAGGGCTCTGTCTTTGAATCCAAGACAAGGGACTTCTTTCCCAGGATGCACGGGGAAAACAACCTCATCTGGGACCGGAATCAATCCAGTCATTCCACGAATCTGAAGCATTCC